TTCATTTTGGCTATTTTGAGACAGGATCTCACTTTATCACCCAGTCTGGAGTGCAGTGGTACAATCATGGCTCATGGTGGACTTGGATTTCTGGGTTCAAGTGATCCTCCTGCTTCAGCTTCCCAAGTAGCTAGGACTACAGGCGTGTGCCACCATACCTAGCTAATCTTTTGATATTTTTAAAAATGAGGTCTTGCTATTTTGCCCAGGCTGATCTCAAACTCCTAGCCTCAAGCAGTCCTCCGCCTCAGCCTCCCAAACTGTTGTGATTACAGGCATGGAGTCACTGCCCCCAACCTAGCATTGCCAATTTTACAGGAGTCATATCAACATCAAATGTTGCTGTTTTAATTTTATTTAATTGGGACAGTTACCCTTTCAAATTCACATTCTTTTTTTTTTTTTTTTTTTTTTTTTTTTTTTTGAGTAGGAATCTCACTCTGTTTGCCCAGGCTGGAGTGCAGTGGCACGCTCACTGCCACCACAACCTCAACCTGCTGGACTCAGAGGTTCATTCACATTCTTACATCTCATTCCTTTATGGCTGGGATTTAGAAGATTCCACTACTTGACACGTAGTGTCACCTCTGACAAATTGCTTTTCTCTTTCCAAGCTTCACTTTCCCCATCTACAAAATGAGGGCTGTTTTCACTAACATCTTTATTTTTATTTTTATTTTTTTTTGAGTTGGAGTCTCACTCTGTCGCCCAGACTGGAGTGCAGTGGCACGCTCCCGGCCAATGCAGCCTCGACCTGCTGGGCTCCGGGGATCCTTCCACCTCAGCCTTCCAAGTAGCCAGAATTACAGGCATGCGCTACCACACCCAGCTAATTTTTGATTTATTGTAGAGACGAGGTCTCACCAAGTTGGCCAGGCGGGTCTCGAACCGCAGGCTCAGGCAATCCACTTGCCTCGGCCTCCCAAAGTGCTGGGATGACAGGCTGAGCCACTGAGCCGTCCTCACTAACATCTTTAAAGTGAAAATAACTTTAAAGTGAGGAAGTACTGTGTGTCTTCACCCTGTGCTAAGTCCTTTAATGCATTATCTCATTCATTGATTCATCTCTCCTCTCAAGGACCCTGTATTTGGGTGGGGAAAGATTAACTATGAATAACACAAACAAACACATAGCAGGGGAGGAAGCAGGGGTGCTGTGGACAACAAAGAAAGAGAGGATGGCTAATACTGCAGGACAGAATTTAGTTTTTTGTTTTGTTTTGTTTTGTTTTGAGTTGGGGTGTCACTGTTGCTCAGGTTGGAGTACAGTGGCACAATCATGGCTCACTGCAGCCTGGGTTTCCTGGGCTCAGGTGATCCTTCTGCCTCAGCCTCCCGAGTAGCTGGGATTACAGGCCTGCACCACCACGCCTGGCTAATTTTTAAATTTTTTGAAGAGACAGGGCCTCGCTATGTTGCCCAGGTTGGTCTCGAACTCCTGAGCTCAAGCGATCCTCCTGCCTCAGCCTCCCAAAGTATTGAGATTACAGGTGTGAGTCACCGCTCCCAGCCGGAATTTATATTTTAAATAGAGTGGTCCAGGAAAGCCGAATAAAGAATGCCATTGGAATAAAGATTTACAGGTGATGAGGGAGGGAACTGTGTCAATATCTGGATGGAAAGCATTCTAGGTAGGCAGAGGGCCCAAACCGTGCAAAGGCCGTGAGGCGGGATCATGCCTGGCATGTTAGAAGAACAGTGAGGAGGCCCGTGTGGCTGGAGCAGAGTGAGGAAAGGGAGAAAGGGGAGGGAAAGGTGGTGATGGGGAGGATTTTGCAGGGCCTTGCAGGTCACAAGGAGAACTTGGGCTTTGGCCTTGAGGCTGGTGGGAGCCATGGAGGCCTGTGAGCAGGGGATGAAAAGGATCTGACTCAGGTGCTCATAGGCACCCTCTGGTTGCTGCAGGGAGGACCTTTGGTGAGGGGGTGAGGGCAAGGGCTGGGGACCAGAGTCACCGACACTACTCCAGAGGAGTTATAACGGCGCTCTACAGGGTGGTGGCCCCGCGCGGGCAGAGTTAGAAGTCACACTCTGGATATACCGGGTGGCAGCGGGGTGCAAAAGAAGTATACACATTTTAGCTGGGCTCGGTGGCTCAGCCTGTCATCCCGCGCCTTTGGGAGGCTGAGGTGAGTGGATTGCCTGAGCCCGCGGGTTC